AACAACTACATTTCTTGTAAAATCATATCGTACTTTTCTGGCCACAGCCTTCAGAATCTACATGCACTTCTGTGCGCTGGTTTCCAGTGTAAACACAGACACAATTACCTTTTTTGTTTACCTTTTTTTAAGAGTTTTATGTGAAGAATGTAGTAGTGAGTAAATGAACCTTGTGAGTTTCCTGACAGACCATGGGAAAAGATCTGTGCTTGTTTTGTCAGTGAAATTGCCTCTTTCTGGTAAAGTAGGTGGTTCTTTGGCACACTTACTGATGAAAAGATTGTCTAGCATAGCTAGGCTTGCACTACTACGCAAACCCAAACATGCCCTGAAGTTACATGCCAAATGTGACACTACTGTATTACAGACAAACTATACACCACCTATGCTAATCTCTGGTAACATAATCTTAAGCATGGCAGGTATGTAGTCACTGCTTTCTTTATTTCAGCCTCTTGCATTCTTACTCCAGAATATAAAGCGACCTTGTCATGCTATAAAAAACACTGAAGTGAACATTTTTTGTCATTACTCTACAAACAACCTCCATACCACAAAAAAATTAACAGTAATGATAGTATTAAAAAAAATGAATGACTATTTATTTGAATTAAATGTATTTAATTTGTTTACTTCCATTATTCCTAAGACCAGTAAAGGCATCAACTCATCAATTCAATATAATAAAATAATTAAACACAGTAGATGTACAACAAAGTATGAGGTATGTGTGTGTGTTTAGGATTATGGAAACCCCCACGTAAAGCACTGCCAACACTCACTGCAGAGACATTATGAGTTCAGGAACTTTGCTGCTTCTTGTGTTTTATTAAGGCCTGAGTCTTTGTAGACTGCCATGTAGACCATTCTGTGGCCTCTCACTCTACAACACTTCCTCGTAATTTGATAGCATCTGTCAATTAATCATTCTGACCACTGTATACGATTGCACACCAAGGGAGCTTGAACTTGAATGATTTTGCACCTATTATATTTGCCCATTCAATTATAATATAAACTGCACTGGAAATGAGGATAATGTCACATTAACAGTGCATAAGTAAATGGTATAATATTCTTCATGTTTGGGCTACATAAGAGACCAAAGAAACAGTTGACGATTAAAGTAATGTGTCTTGGTGTTAACCAAGCAAGAGGCCTTAATGTGGGTGGAAACAACAGGAACTTCATTTGCAGCAAGAAACACAAGTTTCACAAGTCATTTGCATGTTCTGTATCAGCAGTGATGTCAGCTAAAGTTGTACACTAGAAGCACAAAGTGAAAATCCGGCACTTCTATACACAAAGCAGGCTTTATACTGTAACAGATTGATCTTTAAGACCTCTTCTGCTAACAGATGGTTTTGACTTTCACCTAATATTCAGGCTACTGAAGCTACAGAGAGTAAGGGGACAAGTGCCATCTCATATTGTGCAGTTGCACAGTCAATGTTTTCTCCTTATTTACCAAAGGAAACTTCACCAAAACCACTTACAGAAGGGTCCAAAAAAGTCTGGCATGATCCAATTTCATTAGCTAGCATGCAATATTTTATGAACTTGACACTTATTATTGAAACTGTGTATTTATTTGCTGTTTGAGAAATGTGATATACACAGTCTTTAAAAAAATTCCCACCCTAAATGTGGCTATGGAACGATATTTGTTGTAGCAAAGGTTAATTGTTCAGATTATTGTGGTGAAAAATACTGAAAAGTTCTTTAGGGAACCTAAAAAGATTCTTCTATGCCACCTTTATTTTTAAGAGCGTATTTGAATATTCGTTCCAATATCCTTGTTGTACCATCATATACAGTAGTTAATTCAAACTGTGACAAGTGTATCCTTACAGTGATAATTGTTTTCTCATAACATTGTGTTATGTGTTCTTCTCCCCACTGCTTTCAGTCATAAAGATATTTCTTTACAGTGGACTCTAACGAATAAAAACTCCTTTACTAGTCTTTTATGTCTTTTTTTTAAATCTTTATCTGTGGTTTTACTGCTCCAGACATTGATTCTACGTCTGAAACAACTCTTGCCGCTGTTGTGTCTTCTGCTCATGAGCTCTTAAGGAAACTAAAGGCCAGAAACTTCCTGTGGTAACAATTGGGCTTCCTGTGTTAGACCGTGTGGCGCTCTATCAGACATGATAATCTTTTGTGGCTTTCATCTAATAGGTTATAAAAATGCACACAACAGTATTGTCTGCATATTATTCAGAGGATTGCAATGCCAACGGTATCCCTGTGTTAACGGTAAATAGAAATCAGTACAAAGAGAGCAAAGTGTGCTTGCTCTTGAAAGGTTACCAAGGGCAGGTGTGAACACAATAATTAGACCCAATAGTCAGCACCAAAACAACTTTTTAGCAATCACCATCTGGTGGGAAAGGTTGCCTCAGTCCACTTCCAAGTCACCTCTTGTGCATTTTGATTGAAGTTGCAACGAATTACCTTTTTGCGAGCTCATTTTAGCCCTGCCCTTTCCTACATGACCATCAGCAAATGTTTGAATGTGAAATTCAATCAAGCCAAGCAGGGAAGGAACCACACAAATCAATTCCAAATAGGGAAATGGACAGATAATTGAGAAAGTGGAGAAATCACCCTGCTGAAAAAAAAAAAGAAAAACAGTCTTCATAATGAGAATTGGCCTATGTCCATTTGGTTTCAGTTTGGCCACTTGCAACACCAGTATGGTCAAAGGGAGTGATCCTAATGCGTTCAGCTTTCACATCCCAAACTATGTAGCTGAAGTAATTTCCTTTGAAATTTGTATAATGTATTTTATTGAAACTATATACAGAATCACACTGGCTTGCTAAGTAGCTAGCTAACTAGCTGCTTTGCTAAGTGGCTTATGTAGCTGGTTAGGTAGTTTGCTATCTAGCTAACAGAATAACATTATGAAGTCAGCCATCATGGACAGATGGAGTAGTCAGCTACATAAAACACCAACCTAAATATGGCAAATCATTTTTTCCCCCACAAATATTACTGATTATTATTGATTATCAGCCCTGTTTAATTTTACACATTTAACAGTTTCAACCACCATTTTTGTCTTTATTTATTTATTTATTTTTTAAAGGAAATCGCTTTAGATCACAATGACTTCTGGGTCACTTCTGCTACTGAAGTCTGCAGTTATATTGATTCAATCCCTAGCCCTCCAATGGTTTATCAAACAAACTTCACTCGAGCAAAGAAAGCAATTTAACAGCTCTTAGAAAGGCGAGGTCTAAACCGTGGGAAAATAGTGAGGAAAAGTCAACAACGGCATTTTGCAAACAGAGCTGGATTGCAACCTTAGTCTTTTTAGCTGTGTGTTTCCCAGCCTGAGCGCACAGGCATGAAGATTTAGTTAATAATTAAATAATAATAATAATAATAACAATTAACAAAGTTGTTAACCATGTGTGCTTTACAATTGTTTTTTTTTTTTTCTTAAAGGCCTAGTCAGCTTTTAAAGTCAGGTGTGATGGGAAAATGAGTGAATTTGGCACCTGTGTCACACTGAGTGCAGGTTTAAGTTGGCATTACGGTGCTGATATAAGTGTGTGCATGACACAACATGCTGTGTACAGGCGAAACTGTCAGCTACCTGTTCCACCTGAGTGGTGAGGAAACACCCAGCCTGTGTGTCACCACTCCTCTCTCTCTCTCTCTCTCTCTCTCTCTCTCACACACACACACACACACACACACACACACACACACTTATTGCAGTGTGTGCAGTATCAGTTCTAGCTAGCTGACTCTGAATGAGTCTGATTAGCTGACAAAGGATTAACTAGCTGCTGAATGCTACCACTCTCCTGGTTTATAACCTCCCAAAGTTCTCTCATGTGACCCTTCCACTGGCTTCCTGTTCACATAAAACTTTTGTCTTTGCATTCCAGGCACTGAAGGACTCCAAACTCTAATTCACCACATTATGTGCTTCAAAACTACACACGTGCACACTAACTCAGGTCTTCACCCTTATGCTTGTAACACAAGAAGCTTCAGTGTCCTCACTCCTCAGTGGTGGAATAAACTTTAATCTTCACTCAGAACAACGCTCTATTCCTTTCACAAACATCTAAAGACCTTCTACTGCAGGCAGTAAGGATAACACTAACTTTCTCTCCACTTGCTTTGTATGACTCACCTTTTGTATTACTCTTTGGTTTTTAATTTACTTATATTATTTATGCACTTAGGTTTGAAAATGTCCTTACATTACTTATTGTCCTTTGTTTACGCACTTAAGTAGAAAGTATTTTTTAACACCTAGATCACTCT